AGGCTGACGTTTTACCGCACTGCATTCTCGCTGTGCTATTTTTATTACCACTTCAGTTAATAAGGGCCACTGGAGGTCAATAAATATTCTAATGGTGTAGAAGAAAGTAACCAAGTCATTCCAAAGCCCTCCTCCTGACCTAACTGTGCACGACGGGCCTGATTTCTGTCCTTGCGCCCTCAGTGACACTTGCATGACCGGGGGACGCCATTTAGAAGCAGCCTGAACTGCACGTCGGTGACGTCAGCGAGAGCTGCCAACAGCAGGGCAGTGCTGTGGAGGGAGAGAGCTCCTTGGGAATGGAAGCTTTCCCAGACCTGAGCTTTACACTTTGAAAGCACTCAGCTCTCAGGAGTTCAAGAACTTTTGATGGGTCCTGAGGGGACAGCATGCAGGAACTGGCAGGAGTTTAGCAAACCATCTGACGGTCTGTGAGGCCGGCCTCCTGGCTCCCCGGGGCACTCCATGCCGAACCTCTCTGTATTTGCCTGTTATCTGGGGCCAGCGACTTGGAACAAGCCACCTCCGTTTGTCCCTTTTGATCCTGTCCCCTCAGCTGGCTGGCTCTAGTTCGCTGGAAGGGGCCACTGATGACTATCAGGTAAAAACTGGAGCCCAGGGGTGGCAATCCCAAAGAGTGACAGCAGATCAAGGGCAGACTTGGCATTGTGGATTGACTATCATCCTTTCTTATTTCTCAGACGCTGGCTGGTGACATACAGGACTCTCAGACTGACATGGTCCCTATCTCCCAGGCTCCGAAGGTACCTATTCCTATCAATTCCTTTTAATAGCCCTGAAGATATCCCAGCCACATCCTGTTGCTAACAGCCACGGTTTGTGTGCTAGGTCAGCGTCCTTCAGGGCCTTCCCCTGGAAGAGCTCTAGCTCCTGAGCTGCACCGCTGAGGTTAATGATTTTCCTGTGGGTATGGTGAGGTGATCTGCTCTCTTACGTTCCTCTTCTCTTGGCTGACGTCTAACCAGGCCTCATCCCTCAGTACTTTTCCTATTTCCTTCGTAGCACGCATGCAGTCTGCGGCCTATGCGTGAACCCTAAGGACTGTGCTGTCTTTTTATAAAGAACTTCCGGGAAATATCTCAGCTCTGGGACCTTCTTTTTTCAGCTTAAAAGGGAAGAATTCTGGAAAGGTGCTGCATTTTTTGGTCGGTATTTTTTTCACTTGTCTAATTTAAATAATTTAAAGAACATATTTCTCATTATAGGGACAAGAATAGGATTACTTGTCTGCAGCCATTTGCATACTACCTTTAAAAAAAAAAAATACCTGCACACCATCTGTGATATTCTCCTTTGATATTTCACATTAAATTGTCTCACGCCAACACTATTCTTTTTTTTTTTTTTTT